GATCAGGTTTCTGCTGCATACGTTAGGGCAGCGAAAATCGTCGAGTCAAAAAGGTGGGCACGGAGTCGGATATTCTTTGTCCTTTTCACTACATCTTCGATGCTCTTAACGTTCCCAAGCCGCTCGTTTCCTCCTGCTCAACTCTGGAGCTAGGTCGTTCATCATGTTGATTTCACGACCTAGATAGACGTAACTGGAGCATTCGGAAATTGTCGTTCCGTTGAGCGTGAATGGGGCATTAGAAACCCATCCGTTCGTCATGAACATCGTTTTCGTTAGATTTAGTTGAAGACCAATCTTTCCACAGGCGTTATCGAAATCGGTCAACATTCTTTCCGCTTGACTGATGTTTGGTGTTATGAGAACGATATCGTCAGCAAAGCGAAGATGGTTTAATTGTCGACCGTCAATTTTCACTCCCATATCGTCTCATTCTAATGTTCGCATGACGTTTTGTAGGGTGGCAGTGAATAGTTTTGGCGAAATTGTATCGCCTTGTCGAACCCCTCTTCTTACGTTCATACGTCAATGATGATATTGTTGTAGAATGGAGATATTTTAGTCGTGAAATCTTTATAAAGCTCACGAAGGATCATTATGTACCGAGTAGGGACGCCCTGGTTATCCAGAGCCTCTATAACCGCTTCTGTTTCCACTGAATCAAAGGCTTTCTTCAGATCGATAAAAGTGAGACAGAGTGGTTGTTTGTACTCTCGTCGAAACTTCAATGAGTCTTGTGATCGTGTGGATGTGGTCTATGGTACTAAATCCTTTTCGGAACCCTGCTTGTTCGCATGGCTGTCCTTCGTCCAGTGTTCTGTCAATCCTGTTTAGGATGACTCGAGTAAAGAGTTTATAGACAACGGACAGCAAGCAGATTGGGCGATAATTGCCTATGTCGTGAAGGTCTCCCTTTTTGAACAACAATACGGTCTTGCTGGTTTTCCATTGAATAGGGACCTTGCATTCTGACAGGTAGCGAGTGAAGAGCCGAGCCAGGGTGTTGATGAGAACTGGCGGCAGGTTCTTCAGGTGTTCTGGTCTAATCCTGTCTGGACCGGGTGTTGTTCTATTCTTCACCGACGATATAGCATGTCGGATTTCGGAAGAGAAGGACCGGTGGAACGACCTGTTCATCCTCTTTCAATTTATATGACGGTAAGAGGACATGGCTAGCGAAGTGATCCGAGTAGTATTGGTGGATGACTTTCTCCATAGCCCTTCTGGAAGCTGTAAGTGTCCCGTCAGGCTATCGGAGTGCAATCATCTTGGTCTTATAAATGGCGAAGCCTCACTGGGCTTTGCGAATGCTCTTTCCAGCTTCTGCAGCTTGTGCCATAACTGCTGCTCGTCTCTCTTTGAGGTCTTCATTGATCCTTCTCTTCAGCGTTTCTCAAGTTCGGGCGTAAGGTTTCGGTTGCCTGTAGCTCGTATATTCAGCGTTGACGTATATTCGGGCCTATATAGACTGAAGGAAAAAGTTCCAGTGTTGTGACCTGGATTTTCACACGAACATAACGATTCGTGTGTCACCGCGAATTCGATGATACGTTGGGCGATCGCTGTTCGAATACTATGCAAAAGCTATGTGAGCTGTATAACAGATTAGTAAGAGTAACAGTAATAGTAGTAATGATGCAAACTTCTTTCGCAGCTGGTCAGCATTTGTCACCTGCCTCCATTCGCTAAATCTTAACATAATGCTCAGTTCAAAACTATCAAGATTTTAACGAATTTTGGCTTCATCAAAAACATCAAGGGCGATGTAATAATCCGAAGTCCTATACGCTATCTATTTCTAATCCTTAGCCAAAACGCCGGGCTGAACTTTGATCTTTGCGCTGTTTTTCTAGGGAGCGAAATTACTTTCAGGTCTACATAGAATTATAATAAGGGCGCCTCTCTTCACCAACAAACCGATCAGAAGGTTCACATAGAATTACAATAAGGCACCCGCTTTCATCAAGAAATGGAATCTAGAGACATCAAGGCAGGTCATCTGTTACTACGATGCATTGCTCCTATCCATTCCTTTATCTTTGAGTCTGGCAATCAAATTCAAAATGAATTATGAGGTTTCTGATCTTATTTGTCAATTTCTAGTGATAGGATTGTAATACTGGCCTTGCCATTTTCATCGTCAAGATTAAATGTGGCATTTGTACCTAGGGAGTTAATACTTTATCTATGTCTGAAGTTCTCTCAAACCTTTATCTGATCATTCACACTAATTCTAGAGATTTCAAGCATATTGCAGCCAAACAAATACCTTCCTCCTCTACAAACACCACTCAGTGGTCCTGATCATCATATTGGAATTAATAGATGAGTCAAATTGGATTTCGTTATTAGTAGCACTGTCGTTTATTGCGGTGACGTCTCCTATGGGACTAACCCAGATCTCCACAACTCTGTGATCGTTGAATATCTCTTAGATGGACTGAGAAAGAACGAGACATTGAAGCATTAGCCAATAAACACGGTTATCATCCGCTCGGAGGTTGAGAAATATTGCAGAGTATTTTAGATGAATATTTCTATTTAAGCAAATTTCATGTACAATCTACAGAAATTTCATTATACAATTCCTCCAACATTGTTATGATGTTCAGATTATGTCGATGAATGTTGAGTGATATGCGAAATTTCATCAGACGGAAGTTCAGTCTGTGTTTCACATGTACGGGAATCGTATGCTACCAAAGCCACCGCTTTGCTACTACTCTTTCTTCGAAAAAACTACCAAAGCTGTCAGCAACCGATTGCTAATGGATTTGGTCTGGCATGCACGTGATTGCACTGAGCCCAGCCATATAACCATAGCATCAAATTAGTGCGCACTAACATCAGTTGTGCAGACTATATTATACACCCCTTGAAAGACTACGAAGGTCATTTCAGCTCTCAAATTTTCATACGTCTTTTCTCACTTAACAAATACTTTATTGGAAATTCAAGCGATCATTGGAAAACTTGAAACTCGTGATTTTGATACTTAGCTTGGTTTTCAAAAAGGCCTTCGTATCTTGCTGTTGAAGAAAAGATAAAGATATGGTCCACACTCGGTTGCCTTATTTGCTAAGTGAAAGTCTGTGGATCGCTTATTATTGGGCTGCACTAAACTCATTTGATAGCCTAAATTTTGACAAATTTGGAGCTCAAACTGGTTCTCAGATAGGTTTTCACAACGCACTGTGAAAGCGAAAAGAGAATTAGGTTTCACATCCGAAGTTTTCTCTGCACATAGGAGGTATATATGTATAGAAAGCTCACAAATTTGTAGAGAAAATCATGTTCTATCAGATCAGTGTAAAGAACCTCAAGTATTTCCCGAAGCAAAGAAGATGTCTCTGTTGAAGAACGAAATTCGCGAGCCACTGGCGATATAGACTATGCCTTCGTCCGAAAAAGATTATGTGCCAAAAGGGTGTAACCTTCTTGAGGATGCTGTGGTTCATGAAAAATAAAAAACCGAGAAATATTCTTGAAACGGAGGAAGAAATTCCTTTCTGGGAGAAGTGGCAGACGGAAGCACTGCTTGTAGCGCGATTTAAAGTCGACATACGAATTTCAATTTGGCATCCGATGTATCTTTTATTTCCTTGAATTGCATTAGGCTGGTAAGAAATTTTTAGCACCTTTTCCGTTTTTGTTGGTCATTCCTCATCCGTTTGATTTCTTATTTTTATTATTGTTCAAAATAGCTTCTTGCGGTTAATTTGATGTAGAACACGTGCAAATTTGTTCCGAGATAGAGTTGAGCAAACAACGATCGTTGGTGATACACGAGGGGACGACGGTGAAGTCTCAATTGCATTCTAAATAGCTTGCTGGCCAATTTGTTGAGGCGGCCAGCTTCTTGTTGTGTGTCGAATTTCCAATTCCAGCTTTGACGATCAAAAACTGCAGTTCTCTCAATTGTTTCGTCACCCTAAGCCTCGTTAATCCGGCGGAAAGTCTCAGCAGCACTTGGACACAAACGATACTTGTATGGCACCAACAATCGTTTTTGCTCTCAAAGCAATTCCATCTTAAAACAAATGTGTAAGTGTTATATCAACATCATCATCATAATCACCAATAATACGCAGAAATTTGCTGGGCAAAGATTAGTAACCTTCCGCACGAAAACAATGAATCCAGCGATTAAAGAAGTCGATAAAATCATCTCTTGGAGCACTGCACGCGTAATCATCTGCGAAAGTCTTTTGCTGTGACCGTATAGGCAGAAGTTCTTCAAGTCAATCGCCATTGGAGATGAGTCTTGGGTCTATTACAATGTTTGAGATGATAGATTGGGTAAAAAGTTCTGAGAAAATGCTTAACTTTTTTGGGTGCCGGCTTGTGTTTTTAGGCTCATTTGAAAGGCCGTCTTCCCCGTGCTGATTGTTATACAATTTATCTACTTACTTCAAGACGGAGTTAGCGAGCGAGTAAATCAGGTTGTTGATGATGCACAAATGGCTGTTGGGCTTGAATGCAACGGTGGCAAGTGAACACATCACTCTAGTTTGAAACGAAGACACAGTCTGCAAACGTACGGCGTTTAGTAGTGAAGTAAAAGTAGTAAAAGTAAAAAAGTAGCAAAAGCAAAAGTTTGACTGATAGTTTTGTCTTTGTCGGGTGTAATAGGTGCATGAAAAATTGTTTAACAAGCATTTTCTCAGAACTTTCTCCCGTCCTCTTATCTGAGATAACTGAGTGGTGAGCAAAAATTCGACCTCAGACGAGAGTTAAACCCGATTTTCACCTATGCCGAGGCGCGTGCTCCCACTACACTAACGAGGCCACCTTGTTTACCCATCACTCGTTCTTCAATCGGGTTAGCAATATCGCTCTATAAACCCAGTTGAGCTGACAGCCATAGTTTATAAATCCAAGATTGACTGTTTTTTTCGCAGTGTTATCATATTTGACGTTTCTCGACCAAACCACCTTAAGATTGGTGGCTGACAGCTACGATACAGAGATATTGAAGAATGTGTGGTGGGTCAGCGATGGCCCCGGTGGTGCAGTGGTCACAGCGCCCTCGGAATGGGTGAAATGCGGGTTCAACTCCCGTCTGAGGTCTACTTTTTGCTTACCACTCAGTTCTCTTAGGTATATTCGAATCATCATAATACAGCGGAAAGAACAACAAGAATGAGTATTTCCCGGATGTTCTTGTACTACAAGAAACTCAATGATGTGTCGATGGCAAATGTGCTAGATATCGTGATAACGAAAGGACTACTCAAGATAACGGACCATACAGTGTCGTCTACAGGACGTTGATCGCTATCTTTGTAATCCATTTCGTTATAGCTCTTATTGTTCACAAGCGTAACCTAAATCCACATGTACTGCACCAACTAGATAATTTTATTCGGGAAACTTACTAAGAAAGTTCTGGGCATTTTATTAAGCATGAGATAACTCCTATGCATATCATGGAAACACTACAGTTTCCTACGCGGGATTTTCCTACTGAAGGAGGCCTAGATCACTTGTTACAAGCCTCCGCCATGTCCAACGATACAATCAAAATTCGCGGTTTATTGCGTCTTCATTGGAGAAAGGATCTTTCGCAATGGGCTGCACTCGATTAAATCAACGAAATTGAAGGGGAAGGCACCACAAGCAAATCTGGTGCTGGACGCTGGTTTTAGCGTTTATCAATGGCGGAGATCTTGACCTCGAAGAGACAAGCCTCGTTCAGGATGTCCGATTTGAATCGTTCAGTGAAGTTGAAGAAGCATGTCAACACCTCTTTGATTCAAAGTTTAAGGCCGATGGCACATCACCCAGATCCAAAACTTGGCGGATCGCTGGCATAAAGTCGTAGAAAACGATGGCCTTTACTTCAAAGAATAGTTTTCATTGTCTTTTTGGAGTTCATGCATAAATTTTCAATTTTTTACAAGTGCCCGAAACTTTCTTTCTAACCTAATACTTTGAGAAGTGACTATTAAAAAAAATAAAATAAAAAATAGATGAAAAGTGTATTCAAGACAATAACTCACTATTTTTTTCTATTCCTAAGACTATTACAATAAATGGGGAGGGGTAGCGCAAAGGCTAATGAAGCAATGCATGAGGAAACAAGATGATAAGCAAGGCGCTAGGTCGATCCGTTTCCACCCATTACTCTCTTGTTATCAATCAGTTGAACGTCCAGGAACGCCTATTAAGTGCAACGGAAATTTACAACGCACAAGACACTCTTCTTTCCTGTCATGTATCTGCTCTCCTTCAGATCTTTTTTCCTTCTAACTGATTTTTTAACACTTGAATTTCCAGAAGTTTCCAGTCACGAGTTTCAAAAGTTCCCAGATGTACATGGTTTTTGATTTTTCTAGAATTCATTCCGTTTCTTCTCCTTAACAATCAATTTCAATCAATTGACGATACAAGGCCAATCTTAGACCTCTAGATCTTTTTTGAGTTTGAAGCCATCATCACATTGATCCTATGCTTTGGACTTGTATATCTCGTCGACCGCTCTTTGTCTCTCACTTCTGTGTGTTCCATAGAAAATTTACCAAATCTTAATAAACAGTAAGTATTTCATCGGAATGCTAGGCATTGCAAAAAAATACTTCCTCTGAAGATCTTCAGGAGTTTGATTCTACACCTCTCATGACAATACTACAATGTCATATATCCTAGGATACTAAGTGATATCCAAAACTTGTGATCCCAGCCGAGACGTGAACCCGGGTGTCACCCATACCGATGGCGCGCGCTACCACTACCCCATCGAGATCTCTTGCCACCACGTATTCTTCTGTGTGGATGAAGGAATTTGATTTTCCACCTCTCATAGCAATATACGATGTCATAATGACGTATCCAAAACTGATAAGTGATATGCAAGTTCTCCGACCCCAGGCGGAACTTGAACCCGGGTATCATCCATATCTATGGCGCGCGCTACCACTACACCATCGAGATTACCACCTTTATACCACGTATTCCTCTATGTAGATGAAGAAATCTGATTTTGCAGCACTCATAGCTTGGTACGATGTCATAATAATGTGTCCAAGAATATTGAGCGATATGCAAAATTCCCGGTCCCGGCGGGACTTGAACCAGGGTTTCACTCATACCGATGGCGCGCGCTACCACTACACCACGAGAGGCCACAGTCGAGCTATCCCTCTTTCTTCGATATGGATGCAACGCGGATCTAAGTCCGCCCGAGTTCAACGGCTCCGCATACCACTGAGTATCCCTGGATACTTCCTTATTTTCCAGTTGGCAAAAACAGCTGTAAAGTGTTCTGTTTCTTCTTCTCCTTCCTCAGTCTGTAATTTTGCGTATAACATTGTTTCCAAAGTACAAATTTTTTGTATTTTACGCATTTTTGCACATGTCGTACCTTGATTCTTATTTATTAAGGCGAGCGTCTTCCTATTGGCTCCTTGGTTTTACGTTGCCGCTGCGATTTTCATCGGTTTTCTATTTTTAGAATTTTCGCTTCTCTTTCTAAATCATCTCTTTATCGAGCGTTGACGATGACAGTTGAGGAGGCGCTTCGAAAAGAACAAAACAAGGCCGTTTTGTCGATTCAGAGTCATGTCGTCCATGGTTACGCGGGGAATAAAGCCTCCGTATTCCCACTTCAGGTCTGCTCAATCGCTGCTTCTGGTCGCCTTCATTTTCGATTGCCAATACATATGTATACTCATTGTTATCCGTGAATATTGAGTAGATTGATGTGCAAAAACTTTTGCGTCAGATTCGGATTCGAACCCACACTTCACCGTGTCCGCCGGGGTTCATGCTCAACCTTTCCACTACCGACGCCCGTTTTGAGCAGCGCTTGAGTACACGCCCTCGGATAGGATGGTATGTGGGTTCGAATCCCACCCGACGCAAAAGTTTTTGCATAACACTCTACATCATTCGCGTATATTGTGTCATTCATACCATTGCTACAGGCGGTTAAATAAAGTGAATTCTGTTTGCGTAGATTCTTTCATACTCGACGGCGTCGACAAATGAAGGAAACCATCCCCTTTGGTGGACAAGAGTTTTTTCACAGGATTGTGAGTAGTCATTCCATAGTCTAACTCTTTCGGGGCTGTGGACCCACCTCCTCTGCATCTCTAACGCCCAGCTTCGCAACGCTGGACGGTCTGCTCCACCTCCTCTGCCACTCGTAACCCAGCGTGGAAACGCATTGATTGTATTGGTGTATTATTTCAGTTGTATTATTGTCGTTATTTTCCTGCTTATAACAACATAATATATCTACATATAACATAACATAGGAAAAGTAACAATAATACAATCGAAAATACTATATTGATACATTCAGTGCTCTCCCACGCTGGGGGTTAGAGAGGCAGAGAAGGTGGGTCAATGGTCTCGAAAGGTTTAAATCTCAGGCTATTGCGCTACGTGCCCCTTTTTTGAAGAGGCCTTTGAAGAACGCTCTAGCAGAAAGAGAGCTCTTGTAGTTCACATACGCATATTTTCGTGGGACAGAACTCTTACCTCGCCTTACAAGTAATCATTCAATAGCTTGAATCGCGACGATTTCAACGCTGTACATGTTTTCTAAAAAGACCGCTTTACCGCAGTGTAGCAGGGAAAGTAAGATTAAGTTCCACATACGCGGCGCATTGCTCATCAACTGGCGTGTGGGGTGTTGCTTGCGTGGATCGATACTCGAGGAATCGATCGCTGGCGAGACCCACATGTAGAAGGCGATTTTTGTCATTTAAATGAGGATTTCTTCTCCGCTTTGATAGAAAACTCTAGATGAAACGTATGACTCTCACACTACAAGATTTCCTCTACACTTCATATGCTTTGTGTGCTTCAGTGAAGTAGCAGTAAAAGCGCGCGATCGGTGTGAAATATAATTTCATTTTGAATGCTTTGGCGCCATAAAAAGTTCTTTTAAAAGAACGCTTCGTAGCGCAGTAGCTAAAGACTTAAGCTTCCGAATGATTACTAACACGTGTCGAAAAGTTCTTGTCCAGCGAAAGAGACCGTTTCTTCATTCGTTTCCTTCTGACAGAAAAAAAAACTGTTGAGTGATATGCAAAACTTTCGACCTCGGACGAGTAACGAAGCCGCATCTCACTCATTCCGGAGGCGGGTAGGCGGTGGTGGTTGAGTGATCAGAGATACCTGATGCAGGGTCGATCGTCCCGCCTCGCCTGTGTTACTATCGTCGTGTTGATTGTCGAGAGGCTCATCTGAACACCAATAATACTTCCATTTTTTCCCATTGCTTGAAGGAGTACTCCAGTGGGTTCCGCTGGCTACGACCTCCTTCTCCTACCCCTCTACATTCCCAGGCAATCAATAACGAACACCTCACTTAACGCCTCAGCCTCGCTATCCTCGAAGCTGCAGGGATACGTGCTGATCAGTATTCTCGACGTTCGTGAGGAGAATGAGATCTTTAAGCTAGCGAGGAGACGGATCGAATGCTGGAAGTACTGAGATGTGCACAGTATCATTTTAATACGGGTCATTCAACTTAAAATATTAAATGAATTAATTTAATAGGAATTTTTTATCAAATGTGCAATTACTTTTATCTATTAGCTACTGATAGTGAATGTTTCTATCCATGAAAAAAGTCGTCATTTCAGCTGAACGGGTTCGAGGTAGATCCGATCAACAGTGTTCAATTCAGCAACCACGCGGGTAACGTCGAGTTCTTGACTCTGCCTAAAAGTGATTCGCTTGACTAACCTCTTTATGTTCTTTTCTTGCAAGCTACACGTTTGCTTTATTCTTAGGAAATGCTTCACGGCTTTTTTCAGGAATGAATTTGTAGGTGGTGGTGGTAATCTTTCAGGATATAAATATGTGAAAGGACAGAGACTCACGAACGTCGAGTTAACTGAATTGTATGATGGCCTGAAGCTCAACGCTATCAATGAGTATTCATTTATACTTACAGGTTCGTTGTTTACAAGCTGTTTTTCTTTCAATTTCAAGATTTCAAGGTGCATGTTCATTTCTGCTGCTCTGGGATTTCCCACGTGTTCAGTAACATCTCACAAATGGCTCTTATCCTTCAAATCAAATCGTTTAGTATGAAGAGCATGATAACTGTCATT